TAGAAATTTATATAAAATCTTTATTTTGCAAACAGGCTTTTGGTTAAAAAAAAATCTAACATTCAGCTAAATACTTTAAAGATGCATTAAAACAAAAGGTGCACAAACCCTTAAAGTGGAACGTCACTCGCTCAATCAACATTGACTATTTTTTTCATCCTTATACTGCTAAATTAGTAAATAAATAGGAAAAAGTATATCATATTTACTTGTTTTAAACTTTTTTTTTTTTTTTAGATTTCTGAAGTTACCAACTGGTTTTTCATGGCCAGGAGTCTTCAGAAGGGGAGGAGGGTTTTGCTGAGCTAAGCACAGCCTCCTGCCTGCATGCCTGAGCTAAGGGCAGATGGATTCCAAGAAGTACATGCAACATGATCAGGGGGCGGACTGACACCTCATGGGGCCCCCGGGCAATAGGGGATCATGGGGCCCCTGTGTCCTTGCCCAAACTCAAAAAAGCCTATGAAAAAGGTACCAGGGGCATCTCATGGGGGCCCCCTACTGACCCCGGGTCCTCGGGCAGTGCCAGTCCCGCCCCTGGACATGATTCATCTGCTCTTACTCAAGAAGGCCATGGTCAGAAATGCTAGGAGGTTGTTTTTCAAAGTGATTTCTCAACAAAATTAGTTTGTAGCTCTCAGATGAAGTGTAGCTCTGCTATGAAGTGTTTTTTAAAGATAAAAATATTTTTTACAAAAATGACAAAAAACATGCTATACTTACCTGCTCTGTGCAATGATGTTGCACAGAGCAGCCCCAATCCTCCTCTTGTCAAGTCCCCTGCTGACTGTCTTGGCTCCTCCTCTTCATCCAATGCCCCTATAGGAAGCCACTTCTTATGGGGGCACTTGTGTCACAAGTTCCCAGCTCCCTCATCACAGAGTTTGATTGACAGCAGCGGGAGCAATTTATGTATCTGCCCTGTGAGGAGGGACAGAGCCTGGCGAGCCGCTGCTTTCATGCACAGCACTGGGTCATGATGGGGTTCAGGCAAGTATAAGAGGGATATAGAAGATTTTTTTACCTTCATGCAGTAAAAAATATGTTAGCCTTCAGCCTTTAGAATCCCAAGGTTTCTTTAGACAGCAGCCACAGCTTAAGTAAAAAAGCCTGTCCCCTGCCAGCATGCTGAAGAGAAGGACCCTTGCTTTCTGCGAGGAAGCAGAACTCTTGTATGCCCTCTACTGAGTCAGAGCCATTGCGGAACTACTACAGTTGCTGTTGCGACCAGGCCCTGGTGTTCTGTCACATAGGGGGGGCCCAAGATAAGATTGCTGTCTGCTCGGAACTCCCTGACTGCTGCTAATGCTCGGGCGGTGGGTCTGGCGGTTGCAGTGGATGGAAGCAGAAGCAGCAGAGGTTGTCAGGCCAACCTGAGTAGAGGAGCACACAGTGTCCAGACTCTGGTCTCGGGATTCCTCCTCCCTGCTCTATACTGCAAAGACTGAAGACACGTGCTGCAGGAAGTGAAACCGAAAAGAAGCTGCAATAATCCACAGGTAGCGTTAACATGGGAACATACACCACAGGCTGGCCCGGGCGTATGTTGGAGCTGTAGCAGGGAGAGGGTGAGCAGGACTGGAAACAGAGCTGCAGTAAGGTGGGCAGTGTGCTCCACTCCTCCTAACATTGACATGGCAGGAACAAGCTGGTCTGCATATTAGGGATCAATGGCCATCACTCCTCAGGGCTCTTTGCAGGGGGCACTCTGGAGTTAATATCTTAGTGCCTCTAGAGTGCCCCCCTTGGTATGTCCAGGGTGCCTCCTTACTGCCTCTAAGGTACCCCCTTACATTCTCCATGATGCCCCTTTACATCCTCCAGGGTGCCCCTTAGCATAGTAGTACTAAGGGGGCACTTTGGAGGCACTAAGGGTGCACTCTGGAGGAAGATGTAAGGGGGCACTCTGAAGGTACTAAGGAGTCACTCTGGAGAAAGATGTAAGGGGGATAGCTGAAGATACTAAGGAGGCTGTAACGGAACCGACCCAGTCTGCGCTTGGGTACTTCCGTTATAATACCACTTCCCCGTCCGAACACCGACCACAGACACCACACCCGACCAAACAAAACTAGATGACACCAGTCTGTCTGAACATGGAACTCTTTATTTGAACCTTGAACTGTCTTTTTATACACTCGGGGAACAATCCCCCCTCCCTGCATAATTACACAGTGTGGGGCAATCTACATTTAGTAACAATGGACACACCAGCAGACAGTCCCATCAGGAGGGAGGGCTGCTGGAGACACCCCCACTAAGCTAATACACAAACAAATACATCCCATAATAGTTTGCTCCCAAGGAAGACACACAATAGAACAATGGGATGCAACCACATGACATTAAACAATCAACAACCCCCCACCCCAATATTAGGACAGATCACCCTGTACCCCTAACAGGCACAGGGTGACTTACACATAATAGGGATATGAGGATCTGAGACAGGGGCTCCCACCTCTCTAAAGTGAGCTGGCTTCCATGGGCCCCCCCACCCAAAGTGACTCCCGTCACAGAGGCACTCTGAAGGAGGATGTAAGGAGCACTCTGGAGAATGTAAGGGGGCACCTGAATGATCTAAGGGGATATTCTGGAGGTACTAAGTTAGTACTGCGAGAGTGTCCCCTTTAATCCTTCAATGTGCCCCCTTAGTACTACTAAGGGGGCACTCTGGAGGTATTAAGGGTGCATTCTGGAGGTAGTAAGGGTCACTCTGGAGGATGTAAGGGGGGACTCTGAAGGATATAGAGGCACTTTGGAGACACTGATGTAAGGGGGCACTCTGGAGGATGTAAGGGGGCTGTAATGTAAGGTGTTACTCTGATGTAAGTTGGCACTCTGGGGACATGGATGTAAGGGGGAGCTCTGATTTATAGGGGGAATGCTGGGGACTTTGGTGTAGGAGAGGATTCTGATGTAAATGTGGTGCTCATCCTGACTGCTGCACTCCATATGTTGTTTTGTTTGTTACTTACTCCTAACCATGCTCTATATGCATTATGCTGTACATAAACCTGACCAAGGTGTTCCTTGGCTCAACAGTTTTTTTAACGGTTGTTAAAAAAAAAAGTGTTCCTTTTGTCCTGAGTTTTATTTGTGTCTGTGAAACTGTCAGTTGTAGCTCAGTAATTAGAATTTTGTGGGTACAAGGACTCTGGTATGTGTGTGCAGTGTATACTGCAGGCACAGGTTCTGCCCAATCCCCCTTTAAGACCCTCCCACTGGTCACGCATATTGTTTGGCGCAGCACACTATGCCTGCAACAGAACTTATTTTTCTGTTCTTTTCCTAGGTGCCCTAGATCTTTCATGATCTTAATGTTGCTCACATTTGGTCATGCTGTTTTGACTTTTTCATTGCATAGCCTGCAGAATACTTGTTATGAGTAGTGTTTACATGTTGTTTGTACTGTTCAAAGTCTACGTTCACCTTTAGGAACATTTTATATGTAACACTCATATTTAAGATGTAATATGTTGCTAAGCGCCCCAAACTACTCACCCCATGATCAGTGTGGTCTTTTGACATTTCCTCCAGCTTTCTACCTGAAAAAACTGGTGGAAGTGTCTGCAGGAGCCTGACAATGCACCTACTATCCACTGATCTACTGAGTGCAGGTGCAATGCTTTGCAGGCTCCAGTGGGGAAGAAAATAATAAATGCAATTTAAAATATTTGCATTAATTTTTTTCCTTGATGGTGAATTTAGTCTTTACATATCGATTGTCTTATGCAGGCCATAGACGGGGAGAAAACCGGACATTTTTTTTTCAGAAAAACGAAAAATCGGTCGTTCAATGGCCGACGTTACCACATTGGTGAAAAAAATCGGCTGATTTTCGTCCCGTCTACGGCCAGGAAATATAATAGCAGTGTCCCTGCAGAGAGCTCCGCTATTATATTTGACATTTAAAAGTATAGCAAAGTTGCAACATTGTATCTATTTAATTAATTTTGTGATACAAATAGATACAATGTTGCAACCGCAATACTTTTAAATGTCAAATATAATAGCGGACTGAAATTCTTTTTTTCTTCTTTTTCTTCTTCTTCATATTCTATTTCTTCTTCTTATTCATATTCTATTTCTTCTTTTTCTTCTTCTTATTCATATTCTATTTCTTCTTTTTCTTCTGCTTGCCGGTCACGGCTCATGCGCATTTTTTTAATCTGTAAAAAGATCGGGAGATTTTTTTTTTTTTTATGTGGGGAGAACCACAAAAAAGATCGTCCGATTTGCCCTCATTGCCGTGAAAATCGGCCGATCGACAAAATCGGCCGATCGACAAAATCGGCCGTTTTTTTTTCAACATAGCCGATTAAAAAATGTGTCAAACTCATGAAAAAACGGCCAACAAATTCACCAACGATCCGAAAATCGAATACAAATTTTCGGCCGATTTTCGAGCCATCTATGGTCTGCATTAGTTTATAATAGGAGTTTTAGTCATAGTGTAGGCTGTCAGTAAAAAACTGTGCTCAGTCAGTACATTTTTCATGCTTTGTCAGTAAAAAATTAATCAGGGATTGGCAACACTGGATGGGAGTAAAGGGCCCCGAGATCAGTGGGAAGGGTCCAGGGCCTGGAGGAGTTGTCAGAAGGGGCCCCTTCATGGTTTCTTGCATCGGGGTCCTGAAGGTTCTAGTTACGCCTCTGATCAGAGCTAGAGCTCGCCGATTAGCAGGGAACATGAACTTTGCTGATAAGACTGAAGCTAGAGTTCTTCGCTAAAATTGTGTATTTGTTGAGGGTTGACTGTCCATGGACTGGCCCCTGTTACACAATTCTACCATCCAGTCTGTACACAGCTGATTCTTGTTGAGCCACCCAAAAGGAAACAAACTGCAGAATTTTAAATGTAAAGCCCATGTACAAAACCACATAAGAGTCTTGAGAGCAGGTATGGGGCTGTTTATATTTCCCTGAGCTCCTGGTTCATTCTTTGTCTCTTGGCTTTTTTCAGTTTCAATGAGACCTTCCAGTTCCTGTTCTGGACGATGTTCCAGATGGTGGAGCGGACCACTGTGGACATGAACCACTATGCCGTAGCAGAATTTGTTGGACGGGCACTGTATGGAATCTTTACCATTATCATGGTGATTGTCCTACTCAACATGCTTATTGCCATGATCACCAATTCCTTCCAGAAGATCGAGGTGAGAGTTGTGCCCCAGTGTGAGAGATAACGGGTGATGGGAACTGCTCCAATGACATATTACATGTTATGCATTTCAGTAGGTGGTTGGAGAAAGAAAGGGTTTATTACACACACTCAAGGCCATTATATTGGGTACAGTTGTTAACTGTCACAAAGTTTTATGGACTCAGTGGGGTTGATTTGAGTGCAAAATCTGGTGCAGCTCTGCATAGAAAGCAATCTGCTTCTTTGTTTTTTGACAAAGCTTAATTAAACAAACTAAAGTTAGAAGCGGATTGGCTATCATGCACATCGGCACCAGATTTTGCATTCTCTCAGTTTTAGTAAATCAACCCCACTCTGTCACCAAGGGAAAACCTACAAGTATGCAGGACAGATGCTGATGCAACACAATTAGCAGAAGAAAAGCCCAAGGGCAGGAGGTGTAAGCATACAGCAAAATCAAAGAAGATCATCAGGACAGAAAACCAATACATTCAAATTCAACTGAGTAATCCTGAGTAGTGCAGACAGATTGAAGTCATGCAAAGACTGTTGTTCGGGCAGAGAGTGACTGTCCACCAGTCTATTTAAGCACTACTACTGTGGTAGGTGTGCACTACAGCACAATATGAGATACAGTACTGAGCAACAACCAGCAAGTAGTGAAGACTCAAGGCTGATCTTTACATTAACAGCAAGTGCTAAACGATAAATCATGTAGCTTCAACAAAATATATAAAAAGTTTGTATATAAGAAGTTTTGTTTTTATTCGACCATGTGTTAGAATGGGGAAAATGCATGATAAATGGCTTTGGCCGTGGAATGATGGTTGGTGGCAGACTGAGTGATTGTGGCATCTTAGACACAGCTGGCCTTCAGGGATTTTCACCCACTATATGCTAGACATTACAGAGGTCAGTGCAAAAAAACAAAGCCAACCAGGTTGCAATAAAGCTTGTTGGATAACAAAAAAATCCAGCGTAAGTTTGGCTTGTTTGTTTGTATCTGGACACTGCGTGAACAAATGGATCTCGGCAGGGGCGCGCCTATGGCTGGTGGATGATAAAACCACCAGGCACCATTATATTCTTGTGTATGTTTACCGGAGGATAAAGAAAGGTGAAAACATCAATGTTCTAATGCTATCATAATGCCACATTGTGTACTATATGATAGTATATATAAAAAATGGCAGTTGTTTATGATTCGCACAGTGATTAGCAAAACAAAATACATTATTAAACAGAATTTATATGGCACCAACAGTTTACAATATGAAGCGAGACAGTATGGTTACCTTACAGTTCAATACAAGAGGGATAAGAGACCCTGCTTGTTAGAGCTTCCAATCTAAAAGAAAGGGCAAGTGATAGGTAATCACTGTGGGGGATGACTTGTTAGCTAGCAGAGGGATAGGCTTCCCTAAAGAAATATGTTTTCAGGGACCAGGAGTCAGAGATAGATAGCCAGAGCAGGGTGGGGAGTTCCAGAGAATGGAAGAGGTTCTGGAGAAGTCCTGGAGATGAGCATGGGGGGAGGTGGTGAGGGATCTGGAAAGCAGGAGACCTTAGGAGAAGCTAAGAGAACAGTTTTGGTGATATTTTGAGATGAGGTTGGTGATGTAACTTGGGACTGAGTTGTGGATTGTTTTGTATATTGTTGTTCGTATTTTAAATTGTATTTGTTGGGTAGGCCAGTGGAGGTATTGAGATGCTGTGACATGACCTTAAACAGGCTGTTCATGCTGGAAAACCCTCCAATGTGGCCGAATTAAAACAATTCTGCAAAGAAGAGTGGGCCAAAATTCCTCCACAGCGATGTGAAAAGCTCATTGCCAGTTATCGCAAACTTTTGATTGCAGTTGTTGCCACTAAGGGTGGCACAACCAGTTGTTAGGTTTAGTGGAAAATTACTTATTCACATAGGACCAGGCAGGTTTGGACAGCTTTTTTCCCTTAATATATGAAATCATCATTTAAAAACTGCATTTTGTAATTACTCGGGTTATCTTTGTGTAATATTAAAATTTGTTTGATGATCTGAATAATTTAAGTGACAAATATGCAAAAAAAAAATGAGGAAGGGGCAAATACTTTTTCCCAGCACTATAGGCCAAAGCCATTCCAGATATATGAAGATGAATCAAGTGGTCCCTCTGCAGGACAATATAGTAACAGACACTGCCCAAGATAGTAACCTTGTGATAGTAAAGGCAACCCACTAATAAGGGTAGTAAAGGCAACACAGTCAGAGAGCAAAGAACCCCTGGACATCAATGGCAGTCCTCCAACATTGAGCAGTGATGTTACTTGACTTATTATGCTTTAAAAATAAAAATTCCACACAAAGATTGTGTGATTGAGGGAAATTGTGATAATTTCTAAAAATGTATTAATATTCCAAATGTAATTTCCACAAATATATATATATATATGTATATGGGGGGGGGGGGGGGGCGTTCAAGTCAAACCGGATCTAATGGGTGCTTGTGTGACAGTACTACAGGCAGTAGTAAGTGGCAAGTGTGTCGTATTACTGATAGGCGGTGCATATGTTGCGGGCCAGTCCAGAGACTGTTAATCAAGATGGCAGACAACAGTGTTAGTGCCTGGAACAGCGTGTGTGGTGATGAAGTTTTTGTGAACGAAGGTGTAAAACCCTTGGATATCTACAGACTTCATACACAGTACAGTGATGAGACGCTCAGCTGCAGTAAGACATTTGAATGCTATAAAGATGGCCTTCTTTTTGGGTTTTGCAATGATCCTGGCCGGGTCGAAGCTTTCCAGGCTTTACTTAAACGTTGGGATAAATGTATAAATGTAGCAGGGGAGTATGTTGAAAAATAAATGCGGGGGCGCATGCGCGGCCAGGGACGATGGCGGCTGCATTTTAGCTGAGCTCCGCTCATCCCCGGCCAGCACGGACTCACCTGATACGCGCCACTGCTTCCCTGCTAATAAGGGTGAGTCACACCCACTTGGCACCCGGCCCGGCTTCAGGGAGAGACCTGTATGGGGAAGATAGGGCGCTGGAAGCCCCCCTCCCCGCAGCCACCGGATTCGCGGCCCTCGCCGCTCCGGCGGTTCCTGTCCAGGCCGCAATCCCCGGCCTCCAGTATGCCCAGGAACCCAGGGAGAGATCCCGGCCCCCCGTGGTCATGGAGGGTACTGCACCTTCATGCCTGTCAGCTTCCATGCCTGCCTCTGCCCTGACTCAGCCCCAGATGGAGGACTCTGATCACCATAATATAACTGGGGATCCCCAGCATATAACTGGGGGGGGCAGCAGAATACTCTGCATCGGGAAATCATCCTCCCTCCACCCAGATATCTCAGCAAACCATACCGTCTCCTTCCCTCACACTTTCAGCGCTAGATGACAAGCTGCAAATTTTTCTGCGCAATATTACCGCATCCATATCCGCTGAAATTGGAAAGCTGGCATTAGATCTCAGAGGGGAAATAACTCAGATTGGAGACTGCACGGATAAATTGGAGACTGAGTTTGATGATTTGGTGCAATACGTTCATGTTTTGGAGGAGGATAACGCATATTTGAAGCATTCCATGTCCAAATGCAGCTTCAGCAAGAAGACTTAGAAAACAGGGAACGGCGCCAAAATATCCGTATACGCGGTATGTCCGAATCTATCGCTGATGCGCAATTGCACCGTCACCTTCTGTCCTTCTTTAGCGCAACTGCTCCATTGGTTCCGGAAACAGATTGGCGAATGGACAGGGCTCATCGCTCACTGGGCCCAAAACCTGTCGAAGGCACCAGACCACGCGACGTCATAGTTCGCTTCCACTTTTTTCAAAGCAAAGAAGCCTTATCAGCTGCTCGCCACAAATCATCTCTGGAATTTAAAGGTGACAGACTCCAACTCTTCTGCGATTTGTCTCCGACTACCTTGGCCAAGAGGCGAGCCCTGAAGCCGCTCACCACACACCTTCAACAACATCATGTCCTTTACCGATGGGGGTTTCCTTTCCGGTTGGTCGTAACTAGGGATAATTCCCAAGTCGTGCTTCGTGATCTTCATGAGGCGGATTCCTTCTTAAAGCGCCTGGGACTTCCACCTTTGCCTGAAGATGTGTCCCCTCTGCCACCAACTCCATCTCGTCCATCCGCCACCCCCAACAAGATCTGGACTCCAGTCCGCGGAGGTCGGAAGAGACTTACACGTACCCCACAGCGTCCACGTCACCCTCAGTAGATTGATCCGTCTGTATGATGATTCTGGGGTGCACTTCTGATGTGTTTCCGGTGATGATCCTTCCTTCCTGGGTTTTTTACATAATTTTTTTTCTTTCGGGTTTCTCTTTTCTGTCCGGCCGAACCATTGTTGGGTGCATTTTCTCACTTCTGTTTTGTCTGGCCGGGCATGACGATTTTTTCTGATGTCTTGGTTGTCGTGCTGCTCCCGAATTTGTCTAGCCATAGGCCTAGACGACTTGGGCCAATTGGTTGTTCCCGAGTTTATATCCTCATGGATACTTATGTCAATTTCTATGTTTACACCTTTCTGTGTTAATTTATTGTTTTTTGTTTTTTTTTCTATTGCATCGATGGTATTTCATTTCTTTTTTATGCTAACACATTTGCTTCAATTTTTGTTATTTTATAATGGCTTTGCGGTTTCTGTCGTATAATGTCAAGGGCCTCAACTCCATTCAAAAAAGGTGGATGGCTTTGAGGGAATTTCGATCCTCAGGAGCAGACATTATTTTTGTTCAAGAGACACATTTCAAATCAGCTGGCTCCTTTCGTTTTGCCTCGAGATTTTTTCCCCAAGCCTATTCGGCCTTTGATCCCTCCGGGAAGGCTGGGGTGGCAATTTTTGATTGGGTCGCACTGCTCCCTTCGGATTGTTTCCTCCAAAGTTGACCAAAAAGGTTGTTTCATTATTCTGGAATGTATGCTGGGTAACACTCCCTTGTTCTGTTGAATTTATACCCCCCAATACGGGTCAATTGCAATTTCTTTCCCAAACACTCGACGCTTTAGACTCTTTTTCCACTTCGCATGTGATTTTGGGGGAG